CTCTCTCTCTCTCTCTCTCTCTCTCTCTCTCTCTCTCTCTCTCTCTCTCTCTCTCTCTCTCTCTCTCGCTCTCTCTCTCTCTCTCTCTCTCTCAAGCTGGCGAACACTCCGGCCCCACACTTCTTTAGCGCACACACGGCATAAAGGCTCCTCTGCAACGCTTCCTTGTTGGAAACTTGGGAGCTCTCTCATCTACCGAGAACAAGCCGGTGGGGTCAGTTAAATAATGACGACTTCCCTCGACCTGCTGCCAGTCCCAACGGTTCCTAGTACTTCCTACAGGATCATGTGATGGTTACACGGTAGATCAGTACCCGGCAGAATCGCATGGGCCCACACGCTGACACGAAAATACAGATATGCTTTTATGTGTCTGTGTGTGGCACCATCATCCCGAGTGCGGTTCCGCCTGGTATCAATCCACTGTGTCGCTGCTATATATATATATATATATATCGTCACATAGATATCAGAGCGCAAAAGCGAGAAAAACATACAAAGGAAACAAAAAAATATCAATTCATTTTTCATGTTCTTCCTTACAACTCCCCCTGTTCAGAACCTCTTGCGTACAAGGCCGCCCACTTGGATGTAGGTTGAGAGGCGGCTGCCCCCACCCCCGTGTGTCATATCGACCCACTTGCACACAGCCAAAAGGCAAAGAGGCAAAAAAAAGAGGAAGGGAACAACCAAACATTACACTACAGGGGCCAAACGAATCCTAGATGACAAGTCCCACATGCAAACATTGCCCCCGACAGCACAGGCCAAACAACGGGACAAACCAACCAGGATTCAAGACACGGGAATTGTGAGATGGTTGAACAATATATATATATATGTATATGACGATATATATATATATATATATGCAACGTATGTCCTCTCTGTCGTCAAGGACAAACTCATTCTTGAGCCTTTTCTTACCCTCTTTTGCCTTCATCTTCACTCCACACTCCATACTTTCCCTTACTTTCCCTTTATAGTGCTTTGTTTGTCTGCTCTCCATCTCTCCTCCTTGTGTTTATCCCCTCCCCCTTCACTGTGCCTCTTTCTCACAGCGTACAAGTGGGCTGTTATGGCACACGAGGATGGGGGCAGCTCGCGCTCAACTTCATCAACATGGCGAACCTTGTATGTTAAAGGAACGGTGAAGGAGAAGTCAAAAGAAGAATGAGAAAAATGAATGGTTTCACTGTGCCCTTCATGTTTGTCTTGCTTGTTTAATTTTTTTTTTTTGCCGTTTGTTTCGCAAATTGCGCACTTTTAGTTCATAGTTATGTGACAATATATATATATATATACTCGTTTGTTGTCCTCTTCTCCCTCTCTGCCTACGGTTTACCGGGCAGTTCTATTTGACGATATATATATATATATATATATATATATATCTATTTGACGATATATATATATATATATATACAGGGTAACCGGCGTTCAGGATGGGCCGAACGCCCGAACGTATGGGACCCCTTGGGGATGCGTCCGGCCGTTCGGGCAGAACGCGGACCCAAAAAAAAAAAAAAAAAAAGTCATCAAAAAAATCTGAAAACAAGATATGTTATGGAGAAAAATAAATTAAACAAGATTTGCCTGAGCCCTACATCCGAATTCCTTACCAAATTTGAAATAAAAATAAAATACGGAAAACAAGTACTAATTATAAAAATAAATAAAAATAAAAGAGAATTAAATTTAGTGAGTGCGCGAGCATGTTTTCGACACCGCCATCTTTGGATTTTTTTTTTTTTTTTTTTTGGCATTGCAAAATTCCCTGAAATTTTACAGATGTGCTCTTCACATAATAAAAAACCCACTTAAAAAGTTTCAAAAAATAATAAAATTGTTTAGACCCCGAAATAAAGTGAAAACAAAAAGTAAAAACCGAAAAAATACGTGGGCGAGCACGTTTTGACACCGCCATCTTTGGTGATTTTTAATTTTTTTTTGGCAAATCCAAATGAGTTTAAAATTTACAGGCATGTACCTCACGTCATATAAAACTCATAAAAAAAAAAAAGCAGAAAACAATAATTATTTTCAGGCCCCGAAATAATTTTTGGCAGGGGTGAACGTCGTCAGGTTCGGACCTCGTACGGGACCTCGAACTCCCGTATGTACGAAGGTCTGCCCAGGGACCTCCGTACGTACGGGCTGGTAACCCTGTATATATATATATATACATATATATATATCAGGTAGACGAAGGGTTCGTATCCCCCCCGTTGTCGTCACCACCGGCAGACCCTATAGAGGGGCAGGCAAGAACCCCTACGAGCATCTCGAGGATAGTGTTCCCTCCCCTTATCGCCTCCGCCGCATCACCGATCTTGGCCACTATTGAAGTTCCGACATCCGAGGTTGCCTTCGCCAATTTAGAAGCGGCCTTGTCAAGACCATAACGGTAGGATCGTGTCGACTCCTCCATTGCCCTCGCCAAAGTCGATCCTCCGGTCCTTGCGTCGTCCATCCTAGTTTTCCCTGAGGACGTTCTTCGCATCTTCGCTATGCTCTTCGAGCCGTCCGTTCCTCTCGCTTCAGACCCGCTTTTTCCGGATCCACTTCTCCCCGAAGGCGGCGTTCCTTCTCCCGCTCCCGGCAGGTCCTCAGAGCCTAATGTGTGGTCGTACGTCATGGATGGTCTGTTCAGTTTCCATTGCATGGCATCCCACAACGTTTTCTCGAAGGCGAGAGGCACTTGCTGCTCCTTCCACTTTTCCAAGTCCGTGTCCCAGTACAACGTCAGGCCCGACGCATTCTTGCACTTGTCGAGGATGGGCTTCGCCTTCGACATCATGGACGTCCACTTCTTACGACAGTCCTCTGCAGTTCTCCGAGGATAACTGCAGGATGTCATGCGATCGGTCACCCAGGCATACGGCTCCTTCCTTTTCATGAACTGATGCTGTCCATTGGCGTCAACCATGAGTGCGTTGTCCTCCCCCATCATCTTTGCCAGCCATATCCTCTCCTCCAACGTCCACGCCAGGTTTTGTTTTTTGTTTTTCGGTGGCCCGTCGTTCCGACAATTTTTCTACCCACGTCTGCCATCATTTTTCCCATTGGAATCACTGCCTTTGTCCGTTTTTGGAACACCGCCTCCATCACCATTATTGTCATCAACATCATCTCCATCTCCATTACCGGTATCATCCTCCATATCCTCGCACGCTTGACCATCGTAGCCGTTTGCGGCATCGGTGTAGAACCCCGACGGGACAGAAGTCCCGCAATGCGACGTCGATGCACTGTCCATGTCGCATCCGTTGGCGTCCACTGTGGAAGGACTGGGAGTGGAAGGTGATCGCCTGCTGGACAGAGTGGTGGTGCTGGAGTACATGTCGTGCGACGACTGGGAACTCTGCCCGGATTGTGGGGACCAAGGGCAATCATTCCGCATTGCGCTCCCCCTATCAAATGTCTACTGCGTGGGGAACACGTGAGCAGCGAAGTCAAACCCACTTCCCACCGGCAACGTATGTGCACTGCCCACGCCATACCCGCCACCGACTTGGGTGGCGTGCGGTGGGTGTCCCATGTGACCACCTCCAACAGGCGTAGTGGCCGCAAGTGGCCGAACATGGGACCGGGTACGTTGCCCTACTGCATCTACATGAGACTGCGAAGAGGGGAGGGGGGCTGCCAGGACACGAATCGGTGCACCTCGCCCCCCGTCGTACAGTTGTCCAGTGAAGGACTGTAGCTTCAGCGATGATGGACATGAGTAGTGACTACCTGCCAGCGGGCGTCCATCCCGCTTCGGGAACCCCCCCTCAATTCCTCCCTGGTTGTCCGCCCTCCACCAACTCGGACCCATTCCCCCCTCAATGCCTCCCTGGTTCTCCACCCTCCACCGACTCGGATCCATTCCCCCCCTCCTCCCTCCTGCAAAGGTCGATCACGAGTCGACACTGACCACCGCAAGTAGATCGCTTGCCTGCACCACTACAGTCCGAGTACTGGCCAGAAGAAGACGAAGAAGAGAATGACGCAGAACACAAAAATGGACAACAACAAGGCGGTGAAGACGACGTCGATGACAACAAAACAGCAGCCTATTGTAGCCCACAATTGCTGCGTTCGTCCGCCAATAGTGCTTGCTTCGTGGATGACGACAACAGGAGGGGGGCAGCAACGATGATGGCACAACGGACAGGCACGACAGCAACAGGAAGAAGGAGCAACGGACGCGTGGACGATATGCGGATGTGGAGATTGGAGTACGCAATCGCGTGCAGCCAAGTCCAGGGACTTCGGCGAAGATCGGTATCATACGTTCGGCCACGCGGTATCTGATGAGGATGACGAAAAGCTGATGAAGGCAATGGCGGTATATGTGGAAGTCGCAGCGCATGTGGGCTGAAACAGCAGACGATGCAGTATGTTCACACCGCGACTGATTGGCGAAACGGCTTCCCCCGAATGGCTCCCTGCCCGGACAACCGCCGCTGCGTCGGCTGCCCCTTCCGTATGCAACCACTGCCCGTACCGTGGCCAATGACACTGCCAGAAAACATCTCGCCGACCGCAGACCCCGCGCCCTGCGCCTATAATGCTCCTCGGCGATGGCATTGCGCTCCGAATGCACCTTCGCATCCCAGTACTCGGCATGAGGACAACGCTTGGGCCTAACGGGATCTGCATGTGCACTTGTATGCTGCCCGTGCTTGGCTGGATCACCCCTGCATGGCTGGCCGTCGTCCTCGGCCCACCCGTTTTTTGAATTTAAATCCGTTTCCGCTTTGGAAAGCGGGGCCCACGCAAGCCAGCCACTCAACGGCCCACATCGGAACCGTGTGACACGGCAGTGCATGTCCGAGGGGGCTTGCCCGCCCATGAAACGGTCCGCCGCGACGTCAGCTGGACCATGCCCGCTTGGCATCTTTTTCCCACGAGAGAACATGCCCCCCCCCCTCCCCTAGTCGGTTGGAAGGCCTTTCTGGAAAGGTCGTGGTTTCCAGGCCGCCAACCGTGTAGAAATCCACTGTCTCCGGGGTCTGAAAAACCTTCCAATTGTGGGTTTCCATCCTCTTTTCCAGATCAGTGGAGTCCCAAACACACCGGCCTGGAGAGAAATTTCCAGGAAGCCAGAGCAGTGCGGTCCACCCCAAAGAGAGATATATGCCAATGTATCTGTCCATGTGGACCCCAAAGAGAGATATATGCCAATGTATCTGTCCATGTTCTACTGCACCATCCAATATCATTTTGCACATTTCGAGAGTAGTGAATCAACTCCCCTTTTTTTTTTTTTTTTTTTTTTTTTTTTTTTTTTTTTTTTTTTTTTTCTTACAAACTGTCTGGGGCGGTTATGAGGACAGCTCATTATGATAGACGGGAAGTAAATGAGTGAAAGCTGTTGTTTCACGGTTTTGTACAGATTTTTTTTATTTTTTTTTCGAAAACAGACCCTTTGTACAAGGCCTCTATCCTGGTAGGGTAAGAGAACCACCGGGATTGAGGCTTTGCCTGGCGGGCCGCTCCGTCTATTGGTGGGGAGCATCACCTGCTGGGAACCGAGCCCAGCGTCCCATAAATACATCTGATCAAAACAATACATCGTTGAGGGTGACGCCATCGGGCTGGAAACCGGGTCCAGCGTCCCATATCTAACCTTTTCATACCTAGACTGCAGCACCGTCGGGTACTGGGGGGGGAGACCCACTAGGGGGCACCAGTGGGGCCTGCGAGCATTAATTGCCTAACAGCCCCAGGGGGCTGACTGAAACATGCCAAAAAAGAGGTTAAGGAAAAGGGCCAAGAAGATCAGGGAAAACAGTCTGACACCACAGTGCTGGAAACCGGGTCCACCGTCCCATGACCGGAGGATAACATCTCTGCCTACCCTTTTTTTGCAGACAATCTCTTTTTTGGAAGCAGCACCTGCTGGAAACCGGGTCCAACGTCCCTTACATAAAAAGTCCCTTTTCTGTAAAAATGCAACCCCCCGAAAACCAGCATCCAAAACAGAGCCTCAAGGCATAGTTATTTCTACGAGGGATAACGGGTGTGGGGGGAAGGGGTCCGGGAACTCAGAAGCTGGCCTCATTGGGAAGCTCGGGTCGATGTCAGTCCATTCTTTAAAATCCAGTCAGTAATCCCTTCTTACCATCTCTCCCTCCCCCTGAGGGCCTTCGTTCGCATCCCCTGACCATCTCACCTGCGCAATCCAGCCTTCCCTTTCCCCGCCCAACCATTTTTGGCAGAATTTAGTGATGCTTTCTTTAATATCCTTTGGTTGCTAAAGGAGGTCTAGCTTGCGTTTTGCTGTTGCCATCTATCAGTTATGTCCAACTGGAGATGTTTTTTTATATGCTCGCGCACCTCCTCCCCCTCCAATCGCACTTCTTCCATTGTCATCGTTGCCACCACAGCGTCCATAAGATTGTTCGTCTCCCCAGATCAAACATATTATTCGCAAACTCCTCTTCAGGCCGTCCTGACCAAGAGCCTGTGAGGATGGCCCGCCAGTCCCATGGCCAGAGGGATCCAGGGACTATGTGCTGCCAGACTCGGTCCCACAGGCGCCAGGTGAGGGCCGCATTCAGGCACTGTAGAAAGATGTGCTCAATGGTTTCGGCTGCCTTTTTGGCCGGGTACCCTCGGAGGCATCTACTGCACCAGGGGAGAGCGCGGGCTTGTTGTTCCAGCCTGGTGTGGTCAATCAGCCAATTATTGGTAGGTAGGCACCTATGGGCTATCTGCCATTGCAGGGAGGTGATTTTGGCCGGCCTCCTCTTGCTTTCCTGGAACCATCTGATTGGAGCTAGCAGATGTCTGTCGACGTTTAGGTGTCTGTACCAACGCTCATTCACTGCGTCTTTTAGATTCCATCTTGGCCGGATCATCCTATATGTGGTTTTAACAGAGAGGTTTTCTAGCGTTGTGTCTCTGTGGATACCTCCTTGTGTCGGGCCAGCTGGTTTCCATCTCCACTCAAGTGGGTCTAGGCCCAGTTCTGTGATCGGGGTTCCAGGTTTATATACCCAGCGGTTTTCACCTTCCCCCAGCACTCTCATCCGGTCAACTTCTTCCTTGTCTGTCCAAACAAAGGGGGTTGTGCTGCCGCTTAGTCTGTTCCCCTTCGTTATAGTATAAAACTCGATCAATACCTCCGTGGGGCTGACCAGGTGGACCATCCCGACCCCGCCACGGTCTCCTTTCTACATCACCCAGTCTCCTTCCTTGTACATCGGGCCCGCTCTTAGAATATTATACCATTGGAGAGGAAGGGTTTCTATTATTCCGTCCAGAGCCTCCGGCACATGATGGCAATAGCGCAGTTTTTCCTTCATTTGTTTTAGATTCCTCCGTGTTCTCGTTATGACGTCCCATAGGTCCCCCACCTTCCATATCCCATGTTTGATCCATCCATTCCATGGAGGGATGGAGCTACACCTTACTTGCCCGTGGGAGTCCGTGATGCGCCGGTTGCCAAATAGGGGTTGTCGGTATACTTTCTCCCATCTCTCTGGTTCTAGACGGTCTGGGGGGGGGAGCTTCCGCCATATTTTGATCATACGTGGCCATAATTCGTCTTTTAGGGGGCCCTCCCTTTGATCTCCTCTCCCTCTGCGGGGGAGTTTCCAATAACTGTCGTCTAGCCACAGAAGCAGGTCCACCTCTGCCAGCGCTTCTGGTGCGAGTCTGGCAATCTGCTCCATGGCTAACGGGTGCCAGGGTTGGGCAGTTCCCAGGATGAGGTTTTTAATCCATTGCGTGCTAAGGGCCTGGGTTTGGAGAGTCGGGTCAATAATCCCCAGGCCACCTTTAGCCTTGGGTTGGATTATTGCGTCCCATGCCACCCTGCTGATAGCGTGCTCGCATTCACTATCTCCTCTCAACAAAAAGGTTGTTGCCTGTTTCTTGAACGCCTTCAGGGCTGCTACACTTAATGGCCAGATAAGTGATTTGTACCAAAGAGACGCCATGACAACATTATTGATGACTAGTGTCCTCCCAAAAAGTGAGGTTGGCTTCTGATTCCATTCCTTCATCTTGTCTTGAGCGGGTGACTTGACCCATTCGTCATTCGTGGTTGGCTTTCCGTTTGCTGTCATTTGGACGCCCGGAACTCTCACTGTGGCTTCCAAGGGGAGTCATTTAATGCGGGGAGCTTCAGGCGGGCGCCCCCCTTGATGGTGCATCCACCACCCCACAGTTTTGGTTCCCCAGTTGACAGCCATGTCTGACAGTTTGCAGAATCGGTCCATCAGCCTTTGTATCTCTATCATGTTACCTTCCCAGACATCGGTCATTATTGTGAGGTCGTCGGCGAAGAGGGAGCATACCGGAATGACTTCCTATGGGATGTTTGCAATCTTGATTTTCCTGATGTCCTTGTTCTGCCGTAAATTGACC